CCAGCTCCAGGCTGGCCCCGCCCCTGGACAAGGCCGAGCCCATCAGCACCTCTGTGAATGACATATATAAGAAAGGGCACAGCACAGGGGGCAGCAGCATGGCCCCAGGCAGGCCCTGGCCTGGCCGGTCCATCCGTCCAGCTGCTGCCTGCCCAGCTCCGCCATGGCCCAGATGACCCAGCGCAGCCCCTGTCTGAGAGCTGGGAGTTGCTCAGGAGCCAGTGAAAGAACCTGCGGTGGAGAGAGGAGCAGGATGTGAGAGAGACAACTACACAGACACAAAGGTCAGTGGAGAAAGTGGAGAGGGAGGAGGTGCCGGAGCAGAGGTTCCCCTGCAGCCCCTGGTGCAGACCATGGTGATGCACGTTGTCTCCGTGCAGCCCATGGAGAGCAGAGCTCACCTGCAGCTTATTGAGATGTAGTTGTGGAGGACCCCACGTGGGAAGAAGTAACTGTGCCTAAAGGAGACCGCGAATATGTGTAAGAGACCCACACTGGAGCAGTTAGTGGAGAACTGCGGCCCGTGGGAAGGACCCACATTGGAGCAGTTTGTGAAGGACTCTCCCATGAGAGGGACCCCACGCTGGAGCAGCGAAAAGCTGTAAGGAGCCCTCCCCTGAGGAGGAAGGAGCGGCAGAGACAACACATCATGGACTGACCGCAACCCCCATTCCCTGCCACCCCATGCTGCCAGGTGGGAGAAGGTAGAAAAATCAAGAACAAAGACTGTGGGCCCAGGAGGGGTCGAGGAGAGATGCCTTTTTAAGATGTAGTTCTCTTTCTCATTGTCTTGCTCTGTGTTTGATTGTCAATAAATTAAATTGGTTTTGTGTTTTCCCAAGTCAAGTCAGTTTCTTGCCTGTGATCCTAAGTGGTGAGTGAACCCTCCCTGTCCTTGCCTCAGTCCGTGAGGTTTTTACATTTTGTGCTCCCAATTCTCCCCATCCCACTGGAGGGGTGGAGGGAATGAGAGGCTGTTCGTGGTGCTGCTGGGCAGCCTTAAAACCATGACACCCAGGATCAGACTGCTGTGAAAACAGCTAAGTTGCAGGAAACAGCTGTGACAAGCCGAGATTGGAGCCACTGCTCCTTGCTGTGGGCGCTGCATTTAAGCTCAGACCTGTGCCTGTGGTCCTTGTCTGGGTTATGCTGTGAATGTGCTTGCATCTTGCTGATCCTGATCTTGTCTTGCCGACTGGACTTCTTGGCTTGACCTCAGACCTGCCACATCACTGTGAACTTGCCTGGCAATCACTGAACAATCAGCTGACCCTAGCTAGTGTCAGTGGACCTGTTCTGCTCACCTTGTGCGGGTACTGTGCCTTTGTTGGTGTGGCCCCTGCCTTCCTGCCTGGCTGTCCCTCCCCCACAGCTCCTGGCTGACCGTCAATTGCAGACAAAGCTACTCTTGCTGCTCCCTGCCACCAAGTCCTGTCTGAGGCATAACAACACTTATAGAAAGACTTACAGTCTTCAAGGAAAGACTTTGAGGGGTGGAGACCTTACCCGGCAGTTTGTAGGCATACTGTTCCAACAGTTAATTATCTTTCCTTAAAAATATGTGGCTTTTTTGAGTCTGAATTTGTCTAGCTTTGGCTTCCAACCTTTACAATCTCATTATGCTTTTTTCTGCTCAATTAAAGAGCCATCTACCATCAGAAATCTCTCCTTATGGTTGGCACTTACAGCGTGTGTGATCAAGTCACTTCTCTGACTTCTCTAAGCTTCATTAGCCTCTCACTATGAGGCAAGACTTTCAGATTTGTCTGAGTCCTTTTTAATGTGCTGGTATCCCCTATCCAAATATGGATTCCAGATTTGGACACAGTGTTCCTGAAATGGCGCCCCCGAAGGTAAGCAGAAACAGTCTCATTTCTCACTCCCATTTGCCATTCTTTAGGTCATTCAAGAACTGCTCCTCTTAGCTATCACATTCCTCAGGATGTCAACGCCACTCTGTTTTTTCCACAGATAACACCACAAACTAGCATAAAGTTCCAAATGAAAATGAGTAAGTTCTTGGAGATGGGAGTGAGTTTTCTGCAGAATCTGCTTTCAAACTTCTCACTACAGCAATGGGAGGTGAACAAACAAGGCTGTTTGAGCTATTGTACCTGAGCCTTCCTGGACCTCTTGGAACTGATCTAACTCCTCCATGTTTGATGAACTCTGATCTTCATCTGAGTATGACCGGTTGGCATCACCCTGGAACACAAAAATTTAGAAGTTGAGAACTCATAAACAGAAAAGACAATTTGTTCTTGTCTTTCATTGCTGGAACAAATGTAAAATCCTCCTTGGCAGACAGGCATCAGTGCGATCACTGGAAAGAGTCTTGTGTGACCTGGGATGGCTGAGGTACTGTGTTCTTGATTTTGGAGGGGCAAAAGACTCACCCTAGTAAGGTAGGGTCTGTTGCACAGGATGGAAATTGTGAACCCCCTTTCAGAGGGCTTGTCTCTTCCTTTACACGGATTAACACTCATTTATTTTATTTTTTTTTAAATGAAGCCCACCCTGAACTTAACAAGGGAAATGACAGAGGTATGATACTTTGGGAGTCCTCCACCCCAGCACCTTCAAAGTTGCTCAAATGTCCCCTTTTTAGCACCTCTATTGCTCCTCCTTGATGAGGCCTCAGTGGCAACTCACCTCAGCCTGGAACCCCTCCACGAGGATGGCCACTAGCAGATTGAAGAGCACGTAATTGCCAAACGTCATGAGAGCCACAAAATAGAGGGATGCCCATGGCGAGGTGGAAGCCATGCCATTATAGAGCACAACATTCCAGTCCTCCTGGGTTAGGATCTGCAACCAGGAGCAGAGGCAACATAAACATAAAGGAAGAACAAAGGGGATTCCCAAGACTTAAGGGTTAAGAGACCTCATCAGGTCTCTTAACTTCCCCATTACCACACACTCTCTGTCCACTGTCACTGTCCAGCTGTGGTACCACCCTAGTTATGTTAGCTGAGCAAGAAGAAACAATAGCAACCATGAGGGCAGCCACATGCTGGTGTGACGGTGCTAAACACAGGAGTTGCCACAACAGAAGTGACCTTTGCAAAGTGTCTCCTCGGAAGGAAGGAGCCCCCCTGTCTGAGAGATACACCAGTCACTTGGTTACAACACACAATTTTTCCTCCTCCAAACACCACATGCCAGAGCCTTTTTGTGTGAACTTTTGTGTGGTTAGGAGCAAGTGAAATGCTCTGCAATGACAAAAAAGTACCTCTGATCCTCTTCACTTTGCCCTGGCCCACCCATAGAGAGCAAAGTGGCCTCACCTGGAATACAGTGACAATGGCCCACAGCAAGGAGTCAAAATTTTTCCGATCAGGAACCGTATCTCCTGTGTCTGTCCTGAGGCTGAACTTGCAACCAAAGATGTGCATTCCCAGGATGCTGTTGGGACAGGAAGAGGACACAGTATAAAATATAAATATCTCTGCCACCACAAGGAGTTTTTTAGAGTGATTCTCTTTTTCTCCTGACAATCTAATGTAGTACTACAGGAGTGAGGAGTAGAACAACACAGTCAGACCACTGGGACCTATCTGTGAAGAAGGAGCTGTGTATTGCACCCCTATAGCTCACCACAAAACCTTGTTTCCCATCTGCACCTCCTCAGAGCTCATGTATTCCCTCCAACCTGTCCTTCAGACCTTCTCTCTCCATCATTCTTGCTTGCTCTCCTTTTTCTACATCTCCCTTCCACAGGATGCTCTAACAAACTTTCTTCGGTGTTTCCTGCTGCCCTTTTGTCAGAGCCAGCCTCCAGACTGAACTGTTCCTGCAGCCAGTGTTGATTACCAAGAGACTTCACCTATCCTGCAATGGGACACTATGCTCAACATGCGCATTTGGTGGCAGTATTTCTCCACCCCGTCCAGGTCAAATTTTCAGTGCTGAACCCAATTTAGGGCAGCAGTAACCTCAGCCCTTATGAGCAAATAAATATCTGTCAGTGCTGCCTGAGTCTAGTGCAGTGGGCAAGATAAGCCATGAGCTCACACTCTGAAGTTGCCATCCACATGAGCCACGCAGTGCCTCTCCAAAACACTGTGAGGCAACTACCTGCCTCCTCACCTGAATATAAAGATGAAGAGCATGAGGAGCATGCAGAAGGTGGCTACATTGTCCATAGTCTTCATCAGCACCACAAGCTGGCGTCGCAGCGCGGGCATGAAACGCACCAGCTTCAGCACTCGAAGGAGACGGAAAGTCCTCAGCACAGAGAGGCCCCCGTCCGACTGACCGATGATCTCCCAGATGCTATGGCCCAGAGACGCACAGGGAGTGCAAGGGACAAAACAAAAGAGAAGTGAACAAATAGAAGAGAGAGGGGAATAACAATGCCAATCCAAGTTATCTCCTCTGCACTGGCAGCATCTATATAAGGGTTAGAGAGAAAATACGTTTGAACAAGCATATACTACAGGTTTACACTTCCGTGTAGAAAGCTGCATTTCTCCCTTCAGGACATGAGCATGGCACTGCATGTTGCAGGAATGAGGAAAGGGTTGCAGCAGTAAATTCCAGCAAGACAAGTTCTTCTATCACACATTAAACCTCTGTAGCATCCCTCATTCATGCATTTGCAAAATATTTCACAGCTATTATTTGTCATGGACTTGTAAGGCAAATGTGATTGCCTCCATTCTACAGAAAAGACAAATGAGGGGCAAAAATGCTATGCTGCTTGCCTAGGGTCGCCAACTGTTGGGAAAGGACATCTGGTCTCCCAGTCCTTGGCCTTGTGCATCAGCTCAGTTCCTCCTAGTATAGCTGCTAAATCCTTTTTGAAAAGGCACATGAAAATGTGCAAGCTCTGTGGTACTCCTTTCTATGTGTATTTCAGTTGATCCCCAAGGCCCTTGTCACCTGATGATGACGATGATACTGTCAAATATGTTGTAGGGGTTGCGGAGGTAATCAAAGAGACCAAAAGCAGCAAGTTTCAGGATCATCTCCAGGGCAAACATGCTTGTAAAGACAACATTGCTGATCTCCAAGATGTTGGTCAATTCCTCTGGCTGGAGAGAAAGCAAATTCAGAGTCAGAATGGAAAGAGACATGAAATTATGGGAAATAAAGTGTCACCATTCCCAGGGGACAGGCTTTGTAGGGAGCTGCAAAGGATCATGGGTGAGATTAGAGTGGAGCTGGATAAAGCCACTTGCACTCCAATTCCTTTGCACATTTACTACCTTCATGATACATTATGTCCCTAACAAATTATTTTACTAGAGGTGGTCAGGAGCCCCACAGTCATTCACACAGCCAAGGCTGACCAACTGTCTCCCACATCTCACTCCATATCCCCGTCCCCAAGCTAAAGGCTGCTTTACTTTGTGCAAGGAACTTGAGTATTTTTTGAAGCAGGGCGAAAGTAGCTGATCTGTGGTCAACCTCTTACTTCAAGGCCTTCTTCCTCTGAGGTTTCCACAGGTAGCTGGCACAACTTTTCACTGAAATTATGAAAACATCTGAATTATAGGAAAACAATTCCCCGTCTTCCTCTAAACCTCACTGCACTTCTCTATCCCAATTCCCCTCTATTTTTTCACTTTCCCATTTTCTCTCCCCAACTCCCCATCAAATCTTTGGTATGCATCATTTTTCTGGTCTTGCTCCAGCAGTCTTTTCTCATGTCTTTATCCTCAGAGTAGTCTCAATAATTACCCAAGGAGATGTCAGACTGGATGAATAAGACAACAGCAAGGAGGTGCACATTGCTAACACCTACCTATAAGGGGCAGGAAGAGCAGGACAGGGTGAGGAAAAGAGAAAAATGGACAGCAAGAGGAGAAAGGCAGATGCACAAGGTGAAAACCTCCAGGCATGAAACAAGATGACTGCGTTGAAAGAAAAAAAAAAAAAAAAAAAAAAGGACAGTGACCCTGCCTCAGGCATTTTTTTCTGTTGAGTCTCTGACACATCTTTCAGCCCCAGCGATACAGCCTTTTCCACCAGAGATCGATGTGTTTGTGCATATGAGAGAAAATGTTTTAATAACTCTATCAGTGGAACAAGTCTGAGCAAATTGAATTACTCCTCCTTTTGTTTTCTGAATTAATGACTTTTTCTTCAGTGTGTGCAGCCTTGGAAACTTCTCTGACAAGGTCAGGAAAGAGTCTAGACCGTTTCCTCAGGAATGATGAAACATAAGTTCAGAGGGAGACAGAGGCTGCACTGATGTCATTGATGAGGGATGCCAGGTTCTTGCCATCCCCTGTGAGATTAAGGCATTCCCTGCACTGAATTTGGGATGGACTAATAAAGCACCTCTCACCCAGGGACTAGGACTGCACCAGGCCAAACAGCAAGGGCTGAGGTCTCAGACAAGGTCAGGTGCACGAGGGGCAGCACATGCACAAGCCTGCCCATACCCAACACACATGTGCGTAGCGCAGGGAAACTACCACAGCAATGGCAAGGTACAAAGTATTCCCTAAGTGAGAGAAAAACTTCCTCCCAGGACAATGGGTTGCATCTTGCGGCCTGTCTAGACAACCCATGGCCTTCAGACCGCATGACACTGCTAGGGTAATTCACCTGGCTGTAGCATGCTGCTGACCATCAGCTTCCCAAACAGCAACTGGTGGGGGATCTGCTCCAGATGGTGTACCGCCTTCCCAAGTGGAGGGACAAGGCACAGGAGCTCCAAGGCACTTCTTCAAGGCTACTCTGGCCCAAATTTCCATGTTTACCTTGGGGCAGATATGTCACACCTCAGACAACGTGTGATGTTACATATTTGATGTTTAACCTACTGCACCACTGAGCCCCAGCTCGAAGCTTTCGAGGTGAGTATGACCCAAGCTCTGTGGTAGCAGGCAGTACTGCTCTCACTGTTTGGATACCTGTGCCAAAAAGGTGGCTGAAGACCCCTCTTTCTTCACACTGGTCTGAGATATGCCTGGCCACCAGGCCACTCTTTTAAGCATCACGTAAAATAGACGGGAACAAGCTAACTGCAAAAGCCTGTTTTTCAGAGCAGGAGAGGATAGACACTCCTGGCACTGCAGAAACAAAAAAGTGAGTCCCTGCAGGTCAGAGACAATATTTTTACCTTGAACTCAGTATTACTGCCCACTCTGAAGAGCAGTCGTGGTGTCTCCCTGAGGATTGCAAAATTGCTGTTTTTCTGAACAGCAGCCTTTCTGTTGGTTATGCCTGTTACTTATTCAGCTAGTGGAAAGGGACATGAGGGAGGAATGCAGTTCTGGGTCCGACCCTTCCCCTAAAGCTGGGAGCTGCTTCAATCCCTGCTATGGGACCCCCAGGGACCCAGATCCTCCCAGGTGAACAAATGGACTGGAAACTGCTCCTCACATCTGTGGCTTCCCATGCCCTTTGCTAATTTCTTGCACTCCTCATTGCAGGTTTTTATTGAAATAGTCCATTTCTTTAAAATCAGAAAAGAGAAAATGGCTCAATTTCCATCCATAATTACATTTGAATAACAAAACCATTCTGAAAATGAGGGAAAGA